TGTGGTGTGTGTGTGTGTGTGGAGTGGTGTGTGTGTGTGTGTGTGTGAGACGGGGGGTGGTGAGAGTGAGTGCGTGTGTGTGTGACAGGGGCGGGGCTGAGAGTGAGTGCGTGTGATGGGGGGGATAGAGAGCGAAAAAGGCAGTGTGTGTGTGTATGTGGTGGGGGGTTGGGAGGGGAGGGACAGAAAGTGGTGTCGGGGCAGGGTGTGTGTGTGTATGGAAGAGAGTGTGTACAGTGTGGTGGGATCACCTGTAGTGCGACATGAACCCAAGATCCCAGTTGTGCCTATCCTCATGGGTACCGAACTGGGCTATCAGCTTCTGCTCGGTGACTCTGCGTTGTTGTGTCTCCCAAAGTCCGCCTTGGAGGACGTTTACCCGATGATCGGAAGCTGAATGTCCTTGACAACTGAAGTGTTCCCCCACTGAGAGCGGGTATCCCTGTTTGGCGATTGTTGCGTGGTGCCCCTTCATCCATTGTCATAACATCTGCATGGTTTTGCCAATATACCGTGCCATAGGGCATCCTTGCCTGCAGCGTAGGAGATAGATAATGTTGGCCAAGTCACATGAATACCTGCTGTGCAAGTGGTGGGTGGTGTTCCCACAGTTAGATTAACAATGGATTGTCAGGAATATCCAGGATAATTTTAGCAGTGAAAATCCTCTCAAGCCACGATACATATGCACCAAAAGATTCTTGATCATACACTCCATTAATAACAGTTGGTGCAACTAACTTTGGAAGGCAACCTACCGATGTGTGCAAACAACTTTTCCACAAGGACCAGATTTGGAAACCTATTTTTGAGAAAAATCAAACTTAAATTCCTCTCTTAGCTTGCGGGAAGTTTATCCAACTCAGTTTTTTAAGCTTTCTCACCTTGTTGCCAAAAGTGATATCTTTTCGAGATAGATCAAAAGAATGTGCAGTGCATCGATGATCAACATCAAGCTGAAACACAGATTATTCTGGTGTATACATAAATACAAATGGTCACGAGTGCACTGTTAGTATATTTTTCATATACATTGTTAAACTAATTTTTGTTTCCCTTTGCAATTGTAGAATACTTGCAACATTGGGCTTTCAGCTGATCGAACGAAAAACTGGATTATGCACCAAAAGTTGGCAGCAACAGAGAATGGAAAGGATGCCTCCGTTTTTAGCGAGCAGTGGTATACTGAGTCAGTAAATGGCACTGAAATTGATGGAGGAGGCAGCGCATCTGGAGAAAATATTAACATGGAACGCATCAGACAGAAGATGCAGCTGATTATTTCCAAACTTAGAATGATGGCCAACAAAGTTACTACTAGGTATAAAGAATGTTAAAATGAATAATAGGGATCTGACAATGTAACTGTGTTGTGCCTGAACTTCCTCTGTACGTGAATGCTGTCTTTTGTCTGTCATTAGGTTGTATGTCTGCATCCCACTGTTGAGAGCTAGTACCTTCATTCTAGTATTTAAATAGATTTTCACCTGGGCAGTTGGAAATTTGATTAAAGTTTAGGGCTGGGCCTGAGGTTTTCCATGATTCTGCATCTAATGGAGAGAGGAGCAGTTGGATGAATTTATTTGTTTTTTATACCACTGCTTGTGAGCATTAACATTTCTCACCCAAATTCTTGAACATCCAGCTGGCATGAACTTCACAGCCTTTGCTTCCCTCCATGCCACTGATCATTGTAGATGGAGCCCGTCTCTTGCACTAATTGTTATTGTCTCTATCTCTCCTAATTGTTGTGTTAGAGTTCTTTCAGACATGCCTGAATTTCGCTATCCTCTCCCATTCAGTCCCTGAGCCAGGAAATAGCCAACGTCCACCTCCCTGGCTGCTACATGGGCAACAGAATGTCAAAAAATTAGTGAGATTCCTCTGTTACATTCGGCGGGGTCTCTGCAATCCTGAGCTTTCTTTATCTTCTCCTTTGTACTCAACAAACCTGTAATCATGCTCTCAGTTCCCTCCCTGTAAATATTTATGCAAAAGAATCAAAAATCACATGTGTCAGCTATATTTGCTGTAGTGAAAAGTTCGCTCTGAAAGTGACAAGTGGACATTTTTCTTATTCATTCACGGGAAAGTATGAGGTCATGCACTTTGGTAAGAAGAACAGATTATGGACTATTTTCTAAATGGGGAGAAAATTCAGAAGTCTGAAGTGCAAAGAGACTTGGGAGTTCTAGCCCATGATTCTCTCAAGGTAAACTTGCACGTTCAGTCAGTAGTTAGGAAGGCAAATGCAATTTTGGCATTTATTTTGAGTGGACTTGAATATAAAAACGGGGATGTACTCCTGAGGCTCTATAAGCTCTAGTCAGGCCACATTTGAAGGATTGTGTGCAGTTTTAGACCCCACATCTCAGGAAAGATGTATTGGTCCTGGAGCGGATTCACAGGAGGTTCACGAGAATGGTCCCAGGAATGAAAAGCTTAACATATGAGGAACGTTTGAGGACTCTGGGTCTATACTTGATGGAGTTTATAAAGATGAGGGGGGATCTAATTGAAAGTTACAGAATACTGAATGGCCTCAACAGAGTGGATGTTGGGAAGATGTTTCCATTGTTAAGAGAGACTGGGACCTGAGGGTACATCCTTAGCGTAAAGGGAAGCCCTTTTAGAATGGAGATAAGGAGAAACCTCTTTAGCCAGAGAGTGGTGAATCTATGGAATTCACTGCCACAGAAGGCTGTGGAGGCCAGGTCATTGAGTATATTTAAGACGGAGATAGATAGGTTCTTGATTGTCAAGGGAATCAAGGGTTATGCGGAGAAAATGGGAGAATGCGGTAGAGAATGGGGGACTTGATGGGCTGAATGGCCTAACTTCTGCACATATGTCTCACAGTCTTATAGGATGTGGGCACTGTTGGCTAGGCCAGCAATTATTGCCTGTCCTTATTTTAAATGTTCAGTTTGTTCTTTGGCTCTTGTCATTGGAAGAAACAATTTTTAAAAGATTGAAAATTATTCTTGTATTTCTGTGTAGCTGATGAATTTTTTAGTTTAGTGTATTTCACACAATACCATTACTTAACATTTGTAATTAAAGTTTTTAAAGTTTTTTTTTAAACATTCATCCTCTTCGCTCCTGAATAAAAATGTCACTTGACGTTGGAGACATTTGTGTCACCTGAGTGGCAGGCCCTAAAGAGAATATTATGTTCACTGTTTGGTGTGACTTTTGTATGATATTAGGAAAGAAACTTACTTAACAAAACAATTGAAATGTTAACATTGCTTGACCTTTGTATTTGTGCCTATTTTACAATTGTCAGTTCCTTTTGCTGAAATGCATTATTCATTTATATCAGGATGCAGCGCAGCAGTGAAACCACAGATGACGATGACCTGATCTGGTTACAGAATAACATTCAGGACATTGCATTGCAGTTACAGCAGTTGCAAATCCCTGTACCAGAGGTGAGGTTAAATTACACAAAAGATCTGGTTTTGTTTTCTGTGGTCTCTCAGTTATTTTTCTCCTGCTGACATTGGGAGCTGAGCAACAAAATGGAGCTTTCTACACCTGATAAAAATAAAAGCAGTTTAACTGTAGAAATATCGTCCTTTTCAATTTGACCCTGCCTGGATAAATTAAGATTTGACTGTTGAGCTTTGGGTGGCAGAACTTTATTAATGGAAGAATTGTTTCAACATATAGCCAGATTTACTTCTGACTGTCCTTGAACATTAATCCCTTATTTCCTCATAGAAGACACCACTTGTAACTTAGCTGTTTCCCCACAAGAAGCAGATACATTAAGTATCGCATTAATTCAAGGTACAAAACACTTCTTTAAAATGCAGAAAGTTACTTAATGTTTTGTTGTTCCCTGGAGATTCGAAGATTTCTGCAAGTCCTTAGGTTGTGATTTTTAAGTCTTAAAGTTAAATTTTGGATATGATCAATGCAGTGTCTTCTGGATCAAACATTGTAGTGTTCTTGAGGGTCTTCCACTGCATCAGTAAGCCATCTAATTAGAATAGCAGCTCCTCCCTTGTGTTGCTGGTCTGGTCCAGTACGGTCCCATTAGCTCATTTGCATATGTAAATAGCACTACCACTTTTTAGTGTCATGGTTACAGTATATAAAGTGCACCCATTAGTTTGAGCACAATCTAGTGTTCTTATTAAAATGCAATTATTGTTTGGGCACCAATGTCATAGGCAGAACACAGCATAAGAACTAAGAGCAGGAATAGGCTATTCAGTCCCTTAAGCTTGCTCTGTCATTCTGTAACATGTTTGATACTTAAAAAATCTATCTACTTCCTTTTTAAAGGCTTTTGTGATTTGGCCTCCACAATTGTCTGGGATAGGAAATTCCACACATTCACTACCCTATGAAAGAAGAACTTCCTTTGTATCTCAGTTTTAAATAAATGCCCCCTTATTCTGTAACCATGTCCCCAAACTCAAGATTCCTTCACTAATAGAAAAATCTTCTCAATATCTACCTTGTTAACTCCCCTAAGAATCTTGTATGTTTCAATAAAATCACTCCTCATTCTACTATAATGAATAAAGACTGTTCTCAATCAGTCAGCCACTTCGTCCCAGAAATCAGCCTATGAATTTCTTTTGAACTGCCTCCAGTGCCAAAATATCCTTACTTAAATATGGGAACCAAAACTGTACACAATATTACCTACACCCTGTGAAGTTGTAACAAGACTTCCCTAGTTTTAAACTCCAACTTGTTCGCAATGAAGGCCAAAGTTTTATTTGTTGCCTTAATTACTTGCTAATTAATTAATTACATGCATGCTAACCTTTTGTGTTTCATGCACAAGAGCACCCCTTGCTGCATTTTTTTCAAATGTCACTCAATTTAACTAATAGTCTGCCTTTTGACTCTTCCCACCAAAGTGCATGACCTCTCACTTCCTAAATTAAACTCCATCTGCCCAGGTTTTACCCAGTCACTCACCCAGCCTAGATAACCTGTGTTTTCTTCGGGACTTGACCTCCCATCTATTTTTGTATCAAAAGCAAATTTGGATATATTGCACTCTACCCAGTCATAGAGCTGTACAGCACAGAAACAGACCCTTCGGTCCAACTCGTCCATGCCGACCAGGCATCCTAAATTAATCTAGTCCCATTTGCCAGCATTTGGCCCATATCCCTCTAAACTCTTCCTATTCATATACCCATCCAGATACCTTTTAACTGTTGTCATTGTACCAGCCTCCACCACTTCCACTGACAGCTTGTTCCATACACGCACCACCCTCTGAATGAAAAAGTTGCCCCTCAGGTCCCTTAGTCTTCTAAATCATTGATATAGATAGTGAATAATTGAGGTTATAGGACTGCTGTTTGTGGCAATCAATTAGTTATGCCATTCCAGCCTGAAAAAGTACCTTTAATTGCAACTCTCTGCTCTCTGTGTGTTAACCTCAGCCCATTGCTAATAATATCTTGAGTTCCAACTTGTGCATTAACATTTTGTATGGCTCCTAATCGAATGTTTTCTGGAAGTCTTAAGTTCTATGCCTAATGGCTCATTTTTGTCAACTCTGCTTGTTACATCCTCAAGGAATTGTAGCAAGTTTGTGAAACATAATTTCTTTTTCACAAAACCATGTTGATTCTGTTTGATTTCATTAGCTTTTCTAAATGTCCTGCTATGTCTTCCTTATTTATGGACTGTAGCATTTTCCCAATGGAAAATGGTTAACTGACATTTAGCTTCCTGTTTTCATTTCCCTCCTTTCTTGAACAGGGATGTCACATTAGCAGCTTTGCAATCTACAAGAATCCTCGCAGAATTCAGTGAGTTCTGGAATATTTCAACTAATGTTTCCACTTCCTTTAGACCTTGTCTGCCTTCAGTCTAATTAGTTTGTCAGATATTTTGTCACTTTTGATAGAAACTGTTAGAAAACCTCACCTCCCATTAGCAACTTGTTTATTTGTTGTCTTTGGGAAGTGTATAGTGTTGTCTACCATGAAGACCAATATAAAGTATTGGTTTAACTTATCTGCTGTATTCCAGTTCCCCATTATCAAATCTCCCCTTGCATCCTTCAAGGGTCCTACCCTCACTTTAATTACTTTCTTTTTATATCCCCTGGAACCCTTGCTGTTGGTTATTATGTTTAGAATATAAAAATGGAAGAACTAGAAGCAGCAGGAGGCTATTCAGCCATTCAGGCCTACCATTCAATATGATCATCATGCCTTATCTCGGCCTCAATTCCACTTGCCTGCTCGCTCTTCATAACCCTTCAACCCATTACTAATTTAAAAAATCTTGTCTATCTGCTCCTTAAAATCACTCAATGTCCCAGCATCCATCACACTCTGGGATAGTGAATTCCACAGATTCATGAGCATTTGGGAGAAGTAATTTCTCCTCATCGCTGTTTTAAATCTGCTATTCCTTATCCTAAAGCTATGATTTCTTGTTCTGGCGTCTGTCGTAAGAAGAAACATCCTCTCCACGTTCATTACTACTTTTTTAATCAACCTTCTCCTTTTTATTAGCTTTTTTAGTCATTGCTGCTGGTTCCTTTAAAAAAAAGTCGGGAGGTAAAATGGATCTTTAATTCTGAGGTATTGTGACTGGTTCTGGTGAGATACAATCTACAAGCCAAACAGGTTGCACCTGAACAAGTATCATTGCAGAAGCTATTCCGGAAGGTCTGAAATAACTTGACCTGGGATTGGGATCCTAAGAGTGGATTCAGAAGGGTGAGAAGAAAAGGTGGAAGTGAAAGGCAGAAGATTAGTAAATATATTTGGAAGGGAAAGGAAGTGAAGGCTAAAAACTACAGACAGTTTGGGAATTTGACAGTGCTAAAAGATATACACACCAGTGCAAGAAATAAAGGGAATAAAGCAAATGAATGGTAGCAGATTTAATTCCTTGGGAGTATGATTTATTTTTTAGTTATTATCGAAACAAGGACCATAAGGGTAACCTGTGTGTTGGGAGTATGAGATATTAAGTGAAAATAATATAGTGAGAAATGAAGCATTATGGAGCTTAACTTCTTATCAATATATACAACTGCACATACCCCCTGTGTGCATAGAGTCCCAAACAAAATCTATTCTAGGCTAGGAAGCAAGAAGAAAAAACACAGCAGAAACTCTGACATAATTTTTCAGTCCCCTCTGAGTACAGTTGTGGTGCTAAAGGCCTAGAGAACAGCTAACAATATATCATTGTTAAGAGGGAAAGAGGGATAATTAATAGGTAATTAGAGATAGATCAGTGGGAAAATTATTGAAGAAAATTCTGAGGAACGGGAGAAGTCTCCATTTAGAAAAACATGGATTAATCAAAGACAGTCAGCATGGATTTGTTAAGCAAGGTCTTGTCTGATCAATGTTGAGCATTTGAGGTAGTGTGTATCAATTTTACAAAGCTTTTGACAATATACCACATGATGGACTTGTAGTGGAAGTAAAAGCCCATGGGTTCTTCAGGAAATTGAACAAATCTTTGGATCTAACTTGCCAGATGCTGAAAGCTAAGGGTATTGGGATATGAAGCTTCAGGAAAGATTCAGTTGGAAAGTTAAAGAAGACTTGTATTTATTTTGTATCTTTCATTGACCTTAAGAATGTCCCAGGGCACTTTATAGCCAATAAAGTATTATCGAAGTGTGAGTGTATTGTAAGAAAATTATTTCTGGATATTACATCTGTATGGAAGTAGAAGTGAGAATTTTGTGGTTTTGCACCATATCCCACAGAATGTTACAGTGGTTAGTATTGCACAAAATAAAAAGCACAAATAGGTCAGGATTGTAGAGCTCTGAGTTTCCCTGGCACTTGCCATTTACCTGAATGGTGCAGGAAAAAGCAATTATAGTCAGCAACAGGGATTGGTTTTAAATGGATAATTTTGAAGTATACATCCTGTTTGCAACAATTTGTCTTTTTTAACCTATGGAGACTATCTGATTTTGTTCTAAAACCAGATCTATTTTCATCTTTATTGTGTCTGCTGAGACCAAAATATTTAACATTGAAAACCTTTCACATTAATATCTTTCGTTACAACAAATGTTTAATTATGATTTTCCAACAGAACATAATTCCCTCTAGCGGATCAACTGCCGCTCTCACTGAGCGACTTCTGAAGCAAAATGCCGACCTGACCAGCTTTGTCAGCAGGCTCACAGAAGAAAAGAATGACCTGCACAACAGTCTACTGAAATTACAGGAAGAGGTTCGAAAATACCGTCAGCGAAGTTGGAGTAGTGATCAGGTGCGTTTTATTAATAAAAACTGATCAAAGTAAATAAAATGTAAATCCAAACATACTGTTCAGTAAATGTTACAGTTGATGATAAAATAAAAACAGCAGTTTTAACTGCATTACTCAGAACTTGATTAGCAAATGCCTACACTATGAAGGCAAAGGTTTTATATTTGTGTATGTAAAATAAGAACTGAATTATCCAATAAATTTCATTACAATTTTGTTTGTTCTAAATTTCAAGATTTGTTTGTCCCAAAGAAGCTTCCTGCGTGAAGGTGTACAATATTTAGAAAATGCTCTTGTTTATTTAAACGAACATGTAAAAGGTCTTCTAAATATTAAGAAGCTGTTCAATGATAATGTGAAATCCTGTTTTTAAATGCATAGCAAAAGATGCAGTCTTTTGATAGCACCAAGCCAATTCCAATTCCTGTTGACAATGGTCAAAATTAATAGATTAGTCATTTGAAGATCTATGAAGCAGACCACTTGGGGCTTCGCGCCTGCTCCATTATTCAGTAGATCACAGCTCATTGTTTGTGGTGTCAACTTCAGCATTCCTACCTACACCTGATAATGACCTTTGATTCCCGTGTTAGTCAAAAATGTGTCAGCACTTGCCTTACAAACAGTGAATGACCTTATTTCAACTGCTGTCTGCAAGAGTTTCAAAGACACTCAACATTGTGGGGGAGAGAAAGGAAGACTCCTTACTTTTACGCAGTGTCCCGTAGTTCCTGTTCTCCTGTTCTCCACACAATCCCAAACACCTCCCCCAATCCACTCTCAGTGGCAAACATC